TGGTATCAGATATTACTGTAGGTGAAAGTTTAGGATCCAGTGATCATCAGTCAGTGTGGTTTAATATAAGAACAGTGACTGGGTCACACCACACAAAAACAAACAGTTTAGACTTTAGAAAAACAGACTTTTCTAAAATTAGAATATGTGTAAAGGATTCATTATCAGACTGGAGCAATTTAAATAGAGTCCAAGAGAAATGGGACTATTTAAAAGTTGCACTGCTGAAGGCAACAGAAAATTGCATTAGGCTTGTCAGTAAAAGCAAAACCTTATAAGATGTTTAACCCCTTAAGGACCAAACTTCTGGAATAAAAGGGAATCATGACATGTCACACATGTCATGTGTCCTTAAGGGGTTAAAACTTATAAAGCTGTTTTGGAAAGTTTATGAAAAAGAACAGGATAGGGTAATTTTCTGTGGGGACTTTAACATAATATCAGACTCATCACTAGACACCTCTGCACATCTCAATCCACACTATAAGTCATGCATGTGTTCACTTGGTAATAACCTTACATCAATATGGCACACTTATGGGGTGATAGATGTATGGATATCTAAAAAAATACCTGTCGAGATAACTAATTTTACTCCAATAGCCACCAAACCTATTGCCACCTTGACTTTTTTTGTGCTGGACAGAACAACCTTGCAAAATGTGTAATAGGTCATCATTCCTGGTCAGACCATGCTTCGGTCATCTTGAGAATAACAGTCACATCCATTTAGGGGAAAGGGAGTTTGGAGACATAGTGAGTACCTCTTAGCACGGACAGAGACATGCCAAACTGTAAAAGACAAACTAGTAGAATACTTTAGTCAAAACACTTAATCTTAACTCTCCACTACAAGCCTTTAGCTTCCACATAAAGCAGTAATAAGAGGGGAACTGATCAAATTAACTTCCCAAGAGAAAATGAGGAGAGCTCAACAGCCCCTAGAATTTGACACTTTACAGAGGTATATACCCAGCACGAAAAACCCTACCAAGACAACTGCAATAAAGTTAGCCCAAATCAAAGACAAATTATGCAGGTTAAAACAATCCTATGCTACATACTCTTAACAAAGCAGGATGATGTCTAGCTAGAAATTGAGGAGAAATAAAAGTGATGACCTGTGTCCCACATATATATATAGATACTCGATCTCTGGACAATAACTTCTCAATCCAGCAAATATAAGGGAAGAGTTTGTCTCTTTTTACACCTCCATTTATTATCTGCAATACAATTTAAACACACCTCAAATAGACCTAAATATTATTAAAAAAAACTTAGACCCTTTAGATATCCCTGGTCTCACCTCACAGCAGATACAGGTCCTCGCAGCAGAAATCTCCAGGGAAGAAATTGAGACATCAATTAATCAAATATCAAAACACAAAAGCCCAGGACCAGATGGCTTCTCAGGAGTCTATTACCAGACATTTAAAGACACCTTACTCCCACACCTAATGGTTTTCACTCAGACCCTTACCACTGCCATCATTTGTAAGAAAAATATACACGCAGCTTCAGACAACACCCACAAATTTCTAAAGATTATCCAATATGCCCACATAAATTGTATTCCAGCCCTCCTCTAATCACTCCCTGAAAAAAAGCATTTGATTCCCTCTCTTCCTCAAAACATGGGAACTGTGGGAGGACAACTGTAACCGATGAGTACAGCTCTTTTTTTTCTAATTCTTTATTTTTTTAGAGTGCAGTGTTACATACAGGAGTAAGCAATGATTCATAAAAGGAGATATGTTATGTTAACAAGATGCGTGCAGGTATGCTTAGGCAAAATACTTACGCGGGCTTATCTAAGGTGGGTATGTGACGCTGCTGGTGGGACTCGATTCGGATCCAGATGGCTACAGACAAGGCCACAAAGGCAATTTGGAATTTAGCTTCCCAGTGTGACTGTAGTCCATTGGGAGCAGCGGCCATCTCAGGTGTGCCACAAGGGTTCTTTTTTTCAGGGTGACTGAGAGCTTCTATGTGTGATTGCGTTCTCTGGTGGTTAGCGGGATATCCCTCACCAGTCCGGGGGCGGGGGGATAACGGGGTTGCACAGAGGTTTCAGTAAGTAGCATTCCGCAGCGTGGGAGATCATCCGCTTCCACCAGTCACTGGTAGCACTAGGCCGCAGAATCCAATAGGGGGTGAGAAGCTTGCCAAACTGGATAAACCTAGGATTATAATGGTACAGGCGATTATAGTATTGGTCTTCAGCCTCAGCAAGTGGGTTTCTGTCGTTTTTGAGTTTAGAGGGTCAGAGCTATGTGGAAAAAGATCTGACCATCTTGAGTGCCAGGCGCCGCCCCCCAGGAATTACAGCTCTTTAATATGTAGCCTGCTCTTTTTCAATTTACCAAACGTAAATGGACAATTGACACTAAAGCTAATTCATGGACCCGTGCGGCTATTCCTTCACTATTTCTTCATCAGTTAAGCAGGTAAAAATGTCTGGAGTTAATTCCAGGTATGGCATTTGCATTTGGAAGCTGTTGCTGTGGACCCCCAACATGCGGTCAAAAGAGCTCTCAATGCAAGAGAAACCAGCCATCCTTAGGCTTCAAATATAAATCCATCAGAGAGATAGCAGGAATATTAGGAGTGGTACATTCTCTTAAAAAAGAATGCACTGGTGAGCTTTGCAATGCAAAAGGCCTGGATGTCGATGGAAAACAATATTGTCGATGGAAAACAATAGTGGTGGATGATCGTAGGAACCTTTGCATGGTAAAGAAAAACCCTTAAACAACTTCCAGCCAAAACACTCTCCTGGAGGGAGGTATTCCATTATCCAACTCTAACATAAAGAGCAAATACAGTGTGTTCACCACAAGGTAATGGGTACCTGAGAGCCCAAGGTTACCGGACATTAGGCTCTCCTTCGAGAGGCCTACTCTGCGAGAGACTCCCAAGATGGTGCCCGCAGCGCAAAGCACAGTGGAAGAATCGGAGGAGTCACAAGAGGAACTTCACCATAGTGAAGCTGAACATGAGACTGGGTCTGATGAAGACTCTACACCCTCAACAAAAGGAGACATCAAGAAGCTGCTCCTAGACTTGCACAAAGTCTGAAAAACAGATCTCCAAGAAACCCAAAAAGAACTAGGCATCGTCAGCCAGAAAATTAAAGGGGTAGAGGAGAGAGAGAGAGCAAGGCAAGAGAGGCTGCAAACAAATGAGACCCAAGTGACAGAGCTCACCCGTCAAGTTCCGCAACTACATAGAGCAGTGGCTACCATGGAATCTAGACACAGTCGCCAGAATATCCGCCTGAGAGGAGTCACAGAGTAGGTTAGTGGAGGGGCTCTATTGTCTTATATCCAGAGGCTGTTCACATCCATGGGCATTAAGGGAGGTGTGGACCCATCCGTGCTGCTATCAGCTTTCCGGATCCGAAAAGCTGCCACAGCCCCACCTAACACTCCCAGAGACATTATAGTGGTCACTAGAGATATTGTGGTTTGCTCCGCGATCCTGGCCTGATCGAGGGCAACGTGATCCATTAAATTTGATGGCAGCATGGTGTCGCTGTATGAAGACCTCCCCTTCGCGGTTCTCACAAGCACTGGCAAACACTGTTACAGGGATTTGGGATATGACCACATCATTAGTGAACACTTGGAATCACCGGCTCACCACCAAATATTTGGCATCCATCAAACCCTCACCATGGTCTACAAAACACAACAGTAAATCGCGATATTGATAGACTAACCCTGGAGAACTGAAGTTGCCAGGGTTTATTTCAAAGGATACTCCAAGCACATTGTAGGTATCAACACACCTTAAAGGGACAATTTGAGCACCAACACTATTTTAATGTGTTTGATTTAATGAGGTTTTGGCCTTGTTAATATTCAGTATGTTTTCATTGGTCACTTTTTTTTTAATAGTTTTTATATCAAATATTTTGCAGAATGCTGTACCACGAGCTTGCCTCTTTAGCCACACCCCTTCACTCCAGAAAAATGCTTCCTTATCATATGTATGCACACAGCTCAGCCACTGAAAATACTGAATGATATGAACTACAAAGCAACCTGCATTAGAATGAGAGGACACCCAAGGAGACATATAGTAAGGATATCACTACCAGTTTGTAGTTTCTCTTACTATCTGCAGCCAGGTTGTGAATTAAAAGCAGCTCACACATCATATTCATTAAAGTTGTATTGATGCCCGCAGTGTCCTTACAAGTTGACCTTTAACTGTAAACATTTTCTAACATCAACACAACCCCCTGCATATAACCAGGATCTCCACTGTCATGCCACTCCCATGCGTTCTCGGCAATCACTTTACTCCAGTCCTAAGCTTTAGAGCTTTTATCAAAAAGGGGAAGATGCTGCCTTTCGATCCCAGTGTGGAACATGATATAGATAAAGTTAAGGAACAAGGTGCTTAGGACTTTTCCTGTCATGTGGGTCAGATATCTATTACTGAGGAGGAAGTCCAGACCTCTCTTTTCCCATACTCCATTACAGTGGGTGGATAAACTTACCTATAAATGTATTTCTTCATGGGGTGTGTTATATCACATTGCCTCACCATAAAACCTCTCCCTTTTAAAATTGTAATAATCAAAACATTTTTACTTACACCATGATGCTAAGGACTTAAACTGAAAACATTTATGAAAAATCTTACTGTGCTTTATCATATCTGGATATGTGGAAAAAAAAGGTGCAATGTGCTTGGATATAATTTCTCATACAGCCAACTTGACCTAAATCCTATGGGGAACTGTAGGCCAAGGTAACAAGGCATCCATCTAGCTCTCTATGCCATTGACGAGGGTCTTCTCTTTTCCACCTCATATTCAATTGGGAAAAGCTCTCTATGCCATTGACGAGGGTCTTCTATTTTCCACCTCTTATTCAATTGGGGGAAAATGACAAAGAATAGGAAGCCCTAATCTAAAAAACTTCTATCACACAGGACACTAAATGGTGGAATGACTAGTAGGGGAGAAGAGTTCCCTAATGCATGACCTCCTTAAACGTGGCATGTGGGACCACAATTCTTTACTTTACTTTCAACAATCTAGGATAGGGCAACATGCACATGGGCAATTTCCTGCCCACCTGTTTGTATTCATAAACATACATATAAGCAATGTTGTGTTGTTGGGTGGGACATGTTTACAACCCCACCTGGGTTACTATGAGCTCATAAGAACCAAACATTTCTTTTTTGCCATCCCCCACCCCCAGCACAGCATGTAGGGGACAGCAGTAGTGCTGCTGTCTCTTGCTTTTGTTGTCCCAGGGCCCTCCCGTCACTTATTCAACCACTCATCTCCCACAAATAAAATGCGAAAAGGGGAGAGAACCAACCTGAAGCAATACAATACTTTGGCAGGTTCAAATTCTTAACAATAAGCACATTGCCAACCAACATGCAACTTTATATGTGTACAAATATGTAGTTTGATCATGCTGTTAATGTATATGAATGTGATTATATTAATGCTTTTTAGAAGTCTCAATAAATTCCTTTTAAAACACATTGAAAATAAATAAAACATCTTCGGCCACAAATATTTGAAATTAAGAATTGGATCCTCTAAAAGACCTTTACTAAAAAGCAGCTTCACCCCGTGCTAACGTTGTATTTGTTTACCTCCTCATTTAACTTTGATCAATGATTTCTACTGAACTGCACCAGCTAGATGTTGTCAAGAGCAAGACCTACTCCCTAAGGCATTTTAGCATATGAAAGGAGCTTTCTCCTTCTGTTTAAGCTTTGTTTCAAACACTCAGCCCTGTCCATCTAGTAGCACACGAGGGAGTTTTGAATGATTTGCCAGCCTGGTTAAGAATGCCATTGCTTCTACTGAATGAGATAATGTTATTGAATCTGGCTCACCAGCATGTTCTTCTAAAGATACATTAACTTGAGTGATGTGTTTATTGATACATCAGACAGTAAATAGGTTAATCAATCGACTGAAAGGCTGGGTTATTCACTAAAGTTGTTGGCAATTCAAAGTAAATATAACATTTTAGGCTGACTTAGAGGACTCTGAGAATTTTATTCCGTTCTATTTTGACCTAAGACTTGAAATTCATTTTGAATTCCTGACAACTTGAATTTTAGTGAAAAATTCTACAGGGTTGTATGGTCACTAGAGAACACTTGGTAATAGTCTGAGACATAGGTGCAGATGGTAGAGGAAGCTATAATGGATGTTGAATAACTGGAACTGAACACAGCCATTCTTGTTCCATCACAATAGCTTCATTAAGGGCTGGCTGTACACCGGCAAGGTAGTAGATGGTCAAGACCAAATGGGGAAACTGCAAATAGTGAAATAATGAAAGTCTGGTAAATATTAATAATGATGTGCATGTATACAGCATTTTTCACATTGAATAAACATCAGATCACTTTACAGTAAGTCACATAATATTACTCTTACCAGATATTGGCATAATACTTCTATTAACTGAATTGGCACTCATTTCATACAAAGAAAATGAATCACTCACCTAAATGAGCACATGTTAAAAAGTTGTTGCTGAAATTATCAAATATTATATAGCGACAATTTGATGTACTCTGTGTAAAACAATCTAGGGTTGTATGATAACCTTGTGGAGTTACTTTTAATTTATATAAATGAATTGAATTATGACTATCTGTCAGAACTGGGTTTTGTTTGCATGCGTTTTATGGCTTTTTATACAAGGAAAGCATAGGGAAAGCCCTCTTTGTATTGTTGGCGTTCATACCATTGATCTGGGGATGATGTAGAAAGGTGAATGGACCTACTGTGATTTAAGAATGTGAACCTCAAGGTTATTCACACATCTCCACAGATGGGATCTTAACCCACAAAGCTAACAGAATCCAGGAAAATAGAGTGTAGAAGTACTAGCTATTGGGATTAAGGCCATAAATAAGGCATGACTCTGGTTCAGCCTTGGCTTTAGAAAAGGAAACCTAGCTAGAGACTGATGGTCACCAAAAAGTGCCTGTTTCTTCACGCCATATTACAACACCGTGCAGCTAGAGTGATCGTGTGTCTTGGGTTAGATCTGGTGTGTTAAACTGTGCATGCATTCTGGAGATCACACAAGATCAGGGGGTTACAATGGCATGTGTGCTGTCCCCTCCTATATGTGTATAGTGGATAAAGGTCATTTGCCCAAACTTCACATATAACGTTAACTTCTTTTCCATTAGCACAATCATGTTACAATGGCGTTACTTGTAAAGTACATACCAAAGCAGTTGTGGTGGGGAAAAAGTGTGAATGAAAACCCCTTCCACCTGAAGTAAGTGGATAGATAATACATTGCTAAATGCAAATACACACACACCAGTCAAGCCATAAGACTTGCTTTTCCCACAGAATTCTCACTTTAACAGTGCTCTCACTACTGCAAGGGATTCTGGGTAGGCGTATGCAAATGAGCTCAACAAAGAACCACATTTTTGCCTCAGTTTCACTTTATACATGGATTCCTTGGAGTATGTGTCTGCTGCATACAACAGCTTTGAAACACAACTCAGGAAGAGGAGCAAAGCCAGTGAACGACTCATGGACAGCTGTTTCGTTTTTAATGCAACTCATCAGCATGAGGTTGGTTACTGGCTTGCTATGGAGGCTTGGCGTTACTTGTGAAGTACATACCAAAATAGTTGTGGTGGGGGAAAAGGGTGGATGAAAACCCCTTCCACCTGAAGTAAGTGAATAGTTAATACATTGCTAAACACAAATACACACACCAGTCAAACCATAAGACTTGCTTTTCCCACAGAAATGTGGTTCTTTATTGAGCTCATTTGCATACGCCTACCCAGAATCCCTTGCAGTAGTGAGAGCACTGTAAAAGTGAGATTTCTGTGGGGAAAGCAAGTCTTATGGCTTGACTGGTGTTCCTCCCCCAACCATTCATCAGTTTAAACCCCGCATGACCTCTGAGCCATTAAATGGTCCAATCAAAGGCTTCTCTTTAACAAGCCTTTGATTGGACCTCCGCACAGCTCCTGGGACATGCTGAGCAACACTGAGAGCTTCAGTAAAACTTATTTGAAACCTTTTTTAAAAGCATCTTTGGGGAGTGAGAACCTAAAGAATAATGTCTAATAGGGCATTATTGAGAAAAAAAAAGCGAGAGTTGGAGTAACCCTTTAATTTGTAAGCATTATGTTTATTAAGTATACAGAAAAGGTGCTTTCTTGGAAATGTTTTGTTGATGTTGCATAAAAATATCTAATTCATTAATAAATGAGCCCCTTAGAAAAAACTCTGAGCACAACAAACAAACAATATTAAATATCAAAGCTATAATATAGTACTAACAATGTAATAAGGGTTTAAGAGTAATGGGAGCAAGATAAAGGATTTTCTATGGTATAATATATTGCATCATAGAGAATAAGGACAAAATCTATAATAATCAATAGGAAATGGAAGAAACAGACTTGAGTCCGATTCATCATAATATCTTAAGACAAAAGAAATGTAAGCATCAGCCAATTAAAGGTACGGGCAGCAGTGGAATAGAAAACAAACAGCATCATACATCAATAAAGGATCTATGTGTCATGCACCAATGCAGTAAGTTTGTTTTGTGAGAAGTTTCACGCTTATCATTGTTCAAATGTTATGAATAATCAATGCTTTTGGTTGGTTGATGGTACTGTATATACTGTGGTACTGTATACTAATGCATCGGTCAAATCATTGGAATCTATGAGGCAGTGTAGCAAACCAGAGGCCAGTTTGCTGGAGTGCAGAGTTGATATCTTTGAGTCAGATTACGCAAGTCAGTCTAGAAGGCAGCATCCAAGAAAATAGGCAAATGTCCCCTTCTCCATCCTGTCACTTCTCTTTACAGGCCTGAGGCTGTAGTGTTATTTGTGTTTGTTCATCTCATAAAGGCTATCAAACAAATTGTGACAAAAAAATCTAAATATTCCAAGTCTGGATCATAGTTAGAAAACTAAATGTAAACATACACTAGATATGTCATAGATTAACATGCTCCCTAATTATGAAATCTTCTATGATTACATTTGCTGTGGATGTATCAATGTTTTTCTTGTGTGTACTTTAAAGGAATAATATAGTCACTAAAACAACTTTAGCTTAATAAAACAGTTTTGGTATATAGATCATGCCTCTGAAGTTTCACTGCTCGATTCTCTGCCATTTAGGAGTTAAATCACTTTTGTTTCTGTTTATGAAGGCCTAGCCACACCTCGCCTGGCTGTAACTGAGACAGCCTGCATGAAAATAAAATGGTTTCATTTTCAATCAGATTTAACTTACTTTAAATTGTTTATCTCCTGGTCAGTCTAGCTTGCTATTAACAGAGCAGGAGATATGAAATTCTAAATTAAAAAGGGTTTGCAATAAAGGAAGTGTAAACATTAGATGACTCTTTACAGGAAATGCTTAGAAAGGCTTTGTAAGTCACATGCAGGGAGGTGTGCCTGGGGCTGCATAAACAAAATGATTTAATGGCAGAGAATTGAGCAATGTGACTGCAGGGGCATGATCTATACACCAAAACTGCTTAAAAAAAACTAAAGTTGTTTTGGTGACTATCGTGTTCCTTTAACTCAGACAGCACATCTTCACATGCAAGTCAGTTTCTTCCATTGTCTGTACTTCATGGATATTGTCTTAATTTCATTTAAAATAAGGCATCTTCTATATTTCCTTTTTTCCTGTAAGCAGATCTGTGCTTTACTGTAAAAAAAAATGATCTATTCATCTTTGAAACCATAAAACAATTGCTAAAAAAAATACATTAAAACAATTATAATAATAATAAATAAAAATAATTTTAAAAAATTATATATATATAAATAAATAGCTCACTTTTTGGCTTAAATATTGGACTGTTTGGCCATTGTTGCAGAATGTGTTGCATTTTAACCAAAGGATCAATGATATTTTAGGATATTATCAAAATCTGTCCCCTATAGACCACATGCTAGCATGGAATGTCCTGCCTTTTTTGCATTTGCAGATCTATAAGGCCCTGCCAGTGTTAAAAGATTGGGGGTTGTTATGATGGAATTATTCTGTTATTGGCCAGTAAGTGGTTAAGGAATAAATATGCTTCCATGCAATCTCAGCTAATGATTAATACCACCACAAACCTGTGTACCATCCAATTCTCGACTCCTAGGTTACATTAGATGTACAATGTATTGCTCTTATGGGAAGAAACCTTCAGCATAGAATGTATTGTAATGAACCGAT